CGATCTAAAATAATATAATCACCTACCGGTGTGGACACATACATGGGAGCACTCAAAGAATCACGAGACATAACCAAATATGAAGCAAAGTAAAATGATACGTACGAATAAGTAGATCCGGGCCAAATAATGCTGAGGCATCCCTACTGCAAACTAAAACCATACTTGTGATAATGGAATCGAATACTTTGGTCTCCGGCCTGGCTGGGAAAGCATAACATTGGGGCTGGGCCCCACCACTCTGAACTATATCCCTAAGAAAGCCTCCTACTGGCTAGCGTCTATCTCTAGCGGACTGACCTCCACCTCTAATACCACGACCTCCACCTCTAGTTGTCTGACCCCTACCTCTACCTGACTGAGCGGGCGGTGGAACACCTGGTACTGGGACCATGGCACGAGAACCTTGATGCTAAGAACTGCTTGATGCTCGAGGGCAATACCTAGCAATGTGCCTCGGAATGCCACAAGTATAACAAGACCTCGGCTGCTGAGACTGCTGACCCTGAAACTGACCTTAACGACTTGGGTAACCACTTTAAAAACTCTGGAGCGCAGGTGAAATAATAGGAGTTGGTGGTTCACCGTAGGGCAGTTGATCAGAATACTACATATGAGAGACACGACCACTTGAAGCACCATAGGAAGCCTGAAGTGCGGAATGAAATGGCCTAGGAGGATGGCCTCTACCAAAAAAATCCATGCCTCTAGATGAGGCACCACTGAACCTACCAGAATGACGAGGCCTCTTGTCAGACCCCTGACCACTCCCCTGAGCTAAAATCATCTCAACTTGCCTGGCCATATTGGCCGTATCCTAGAAAGAAATCTCGCTCCCTATCTCCTTAGCCATCTACAATCTGATAGGCTGCACGAGTCCCTCAATAAACCTCCCCACCCACTCTTTCTCTTTCGGTGGGGAGTATAAGAAGATAATGATGGGCCAAATCAACAAATCTAGTCTCGTACTGAGTGACAGTCATGCAACCTTAGTGAAGATGCTAAAATCGCCTACGATAGTCCTCTCTCTGAGTGATAGGAATGAACTTCTCGAGAAATAGCTGAGAGAACTGGTCCCAAGTCAAGGCAGGTGACCCAGCTAGTCTAGTCAACACAAAATTATTCCACCAACTCTTGGCAGACCCTATCATCTGGAATACAGCAAAGTCAAACCCATTTGTCTTCACTATCTCCATGTTCCGCAACACCTCATGGAAGCGGTCAAGATAATCTTGTGGGTCCTCAGAAGTAGCCACACTATAATGAATCGGGAAAAGCTTTGTGAACTTGTCCAACCTCAACAAAGCATTAGAAGACATGTCTGATCCACCAACGGCCTGTACCGTAATAGCTGGCTAAACTACTCCAACTGGCTGAGCTAACGGAGTCTGAAACTGAGGAGACATCTGCTCCAGAGTGTGGGTAGCGGGATTCTGGGCTCCTCTCCCAGCCCGAGGGACGGCTGGTGCTATAGGAAATGGGCCAATTTGCCTCGGCCTCTGGCACGGCCTCGTCCTCATCCTCTGCCCCTCGTAGGAGTTGTTGCTGGGGGCTCGGGCTGCTGATCAGCCGATGAAGCGGTACGTGTTCTCAAAATCTGTGAAAAAACAAGAATAGAGTGTTCAATTAGCATTGAGAGATCAAATCGCACGACAGAGAAGAATAGAAGTGAATTTGTTTCTTAAAACTCTGTAGCCTATGGAGGATAAGCACAGACGTCTTCGTACCGATCCCTCACACTCTACCTAGCTTGTTCGTGAATTGTAAGACTTAGGCAACCTAGTGCTCTAATACCAACTTATCATGACCCGGATTTCCCACCAACAGGATCGTGATGGCTCCTAACTTTTAGGATGCTAGGCAAGCCATCAGATAAAGATCTAATATGATAACTGTTATCCAAAATAGTAAATAACAATAGTTTAAACCAAAACAAAGTAAGGAAGTGCATAAATGTATGACAATCTAAACTCTGATACACGACTACCCAAAATCTGGTGTCACAATCCACAAACTTCTATGAGTTACTACAAATATTGGTTTAAAGAAAATACATCTGTTCTCGAAATGAAAGAAAACATGGAAACTAAGATAGATGGAAGGGGACTCCAGGGTCTGCGAACGCCGGCAGATCTACCTTGGATGTCCTAATGGACTGAAGGAAGAAACCCAATACTGATCAATGCGGTCCAATACTGAAATCCACACAAAAAGTGCAGAGTGCAATATTAGTACAACCGACCCCATGTACTGGTAAGTGACGAGCCTAACCTCGATGAAGTAGTGATGAGGCTAGGACACGACAATAACATGAACCTGTGTAGTTAAATCATAAACGAGAACTAACAACAACGGAAATTTAGGAGATAATAATGGTATGCTAAGACGGATATCAAATCCTGAAAATACTACAGTAAAGAAACATAATAAATATCATGCTTTACACCAACGAAAGTAAAAACACAACAAACAAGTGCACGACATCACCCTTCGTGCTTTTACTCTCATTCTCACCATAAGATATAGTAGAAACGACACGACATCACCCTTCGTGCATTAACTCTTTCATAACATGGCACGACATTACCCTTCGTGCTTTAACTCTCTCATAGCATGGTACAACATCACCCTTCGTGCATTATCACTCATAGATTATGGCACGACATCACCCTTCATGCATTATCACTCTCTCACAAAACATCACACGGCATCACCCTTCGTGTTTTACACTCTTCCTCACCCAAACAATAGAACAATATCAACCCTGCAAGGGAATTGTCAGTAACCAAACTCGTTTCAATATTTAACTTCACAATATAAATCTCAACCTGAGTGAATACTCAACCAATATCTAATTCCAGGAAAAACATGATAAGATTTGTTTAACATGAAGAATAACCAGTTTAAGAATGAACAGTACGAATAAAGAATACAACAGTCACAAGTATAAGACTCAATCACATGCTACGCCTTGATATAAATGTATAGGTACTCGTCACATCACCTATACGTCGTACTCAACAACTAAACACATAGCAGATAAGGAACAACACCTAATCCCTCAAGCTAAAGTTATCCACAAAACTTACCTCGATTCTACGGCCAAAATCAAGCCTCAATCACCGGTTTTCCTCTAGATTCCACCTCTGAACCACTAGTACCTAGTCATAGTTAACTTAATAACATCAATTATTGCTAAAGAAATCAATTCACATACACAATTATAGGTTTCCTAATATTTTACCCAAAAGGTCAAAAATGGACCCCGTACACGCTTGGTCAAAACTCAAAGTTCGGACCAAAATCCGATTGCCCATTCACCCCGAGCCCGGATATACAATTGGTTTTTGAATCCAACCCCAATTTGAGGTCTAAATCCCCAAAATTTGATATTCTTAAGTTCTACCCAAAACACTCAATTCCACTATGAAAAACCCAAGATTCTGGGATGAAATCTTTTAAAAAGACGTAATAGATTGAATGAAATGAGTTAGGAATCATTTACCTATGATTTGGGGAAGAACTAGCCCCTTGGAAGACCGCCTCTTGAAGTTTAGGTTTTGAAAATTTAGGGAATGAATCAAAAATCCCGTCCAAGTCCAAAACTTATCAACTACAGATGTCGCATTTGCGAAGCTCGCAAATGCGAGAATGGCATCGCAAATGCGAACCTGTCGCATTTCTGCTGCTATCAAAAATACAAACCATTTGGTCGCAAATGCGAAGATCCCTACCCCAGACTCACTTTGCAAATGCGAAAGGTTGTTCACATTTGCGAACATGGGCTGGCCTAGCTTCTCTTCGCATTTGCGATGAGAAGATATCAAATGCGACCTCATCCGTAGTCGCAAATGCGAACCTTGACCTCACATTTGCGAGGTCTGAGGCCTGCAAAAAGTTCAGCTATACTAGTTGTCACACCTCTTTTTTTTACCCGAAAGAGTATATTAGAGTTTTTCAATTAAAGTGACAATAATCAAAATGAGATTATTTATATCAAATTCAGAGTCTCCACTTAAGATAATTTATAGTGTCCCAAGTTACCGGCTTAGAATCCTGAATCTAGGAATTTTAACTTTATTTTACAGTCCGCGAAACACAGAAATCCGAGTAAGGAATTCTGTTAACCCGGGAGAAAGTGTTAGGCATTCTCGGGTTCCGTGGTTTTAGTAAGGTTGCTCAACTATTATTAATTGGCCTAAATACCTGATTAATAACATGTTTTAAACCTATTGCGCATTTTTTACCCTTTTGAAAAATGCTTTTAATTACTTATGGAATTATTTCTGGAACAAGTTACGATTGTCACACACTTGTTTGTTTTGTACATATTGTGAATCATGTCACAGGAACTGTACCCACGATCTTCAACATGTTTAATTTATTAAAGTTTTGAAGTTGGGGTCCGGTCACATGAAATGTGCACCCAAATTTGGGAATTATGCATCAAAACTACGTCACGGGAACCTACGCACAGCTATGATGATTTATTGTAACGCACCTAAAGCAAACTACGAATGTTCATGGTTGGTTGTAAAACTAGTTTGAGATTTTATTGTGAGGGCCATAGATTATGGAATTTATTTGTGGAGGTGAGTGTAAATGGGCCAGCTAAATGCGCTTACTAGGATTAGGTTACCTTTAGCTCTTATCAATTGGGCCCACTGTTGAAGAATTTGCCTAATCTGTATTGCTAGAGAAACACAATCCATCATGCATATTTCAACATAAACTAAACTGACACAAAAAGTCAACTAAAGTATATCATTCAAAAATTAGTGTTGCACAAGTTAAAAAAGGGAAGGTTGAAACCAGATCACACACCATCAGTGAAATTAAAATTAAAACCCCACAAGCTCACTAGCAATACAAACACATTAAATGACATTAACTCAAAGCAATGAATATGAGTTCTGAATACAACAAAACTAACAATGCACTAATTGATTTAAAAGTAATTATGACAAATGGTATCACCACCTGGTTTAGTCTTTAGCTTGTAAAATTCCAACTCTAAACAGGCATCGCATAGCTCAATGCAAACATTTACTATACATCACTTACTTTACCAAATCAATGCAACAAAGACTCAATTAGCATGTGGGATCAGTTAGGTGACACCTAGATCTTAAGCTTATCAAGTGAAACTAATTAAATGCATGACAAGCTCACAAGGACGTGCTGTTTATACACTTGTCTTCAACGAACTAAATTCTCAAGCAAATCCAGCACATAAAAATGAACTACTAAGCATTTGATATTGAACAACCAACTAACCATTGACTACAACAACAAAATTATCATTTTTAGCTGAGAGCTAAAAAGGGAAAAAGTCAGAGAAAAAAGCTGAATAGCTTAAAAGAACATGAAGGTTGAAGTTCAACATGAATAACTCCATTAATTTCAGCATGAGTACATCTTCCGCACAAGCATGTTCACATTCCATTTGCCATTCATGGTTCAAAAGAAGTACCTGAATACAATAGGTGAACAGAATAAGAAAAGGTATCTTTGAGATCCACGAGTACAACAGAGAACAGTAAACAACAACAAGAAACAACAAGAAACCAAAATGCTATGACTCTCAGCTCAAATCAGTAAACCCAGCAGAAATAGAGATAGACCATCAGATTAAGTAAAGAACAATCATCTTAGACATCTCTTTGTTGTTTTTCTATTTCCTTGGTTTTTGCTTAAGGAGGAGAAAATCAGAAAAATATAATCAAGAAGGTCAGTCTCTCTATTGAAGGTTTTTTGTGCCAAAATTCCGTGTCCCTTCTGTGAGATGGGAATGCTTTTTTTATAAGGGAAAAACTCAGCCTCTCTCCCATGTGCCTTCCCTAAATTTCAGGGACAACTGTGCAAGTGTAGAAGCTTCTTCATTTTTTAATTTCCAATTGAACCCCTTAAAGTTTTATTTATCACCAATAACCCCCTACTTCTAATTAGCAGTCAAACGTTCCCAATTACATAATGAGGACAAGCATCAGAACAAATAAATACGGCAGCAAACCATTACCCTAAAAGAAACCTAGTTGAATTACTGTATTAATAAAGAAAACTGATTAGATTACCTTAAACACCTAAGATTAACTAATAAATAAGTGATTAATAATTAAACTAACTACACTACCAATTAACCTAAGGATTAAACACAGACTATTGTCAAGATTTAAGAAAAAAATGAAAGAAAATTAACAAATAAAAATGGAACAACAATAATTGGTATGGAAAGTACTAAGAGGAAGAAAATTAAACCTAAAATGACGTCCCACAAGGCTGGCCGGAGTCCGGTGAGTCAGTCAAAATCTGATAACCTTGGAGTGACTCAAAACTAATGTCAATCAATTGATCTTGTAGAGAGCAATTTATCAACGTAAGTTTTAGGCCAAATCGAGTGGAAAAAGTACAAAAATTAGAAAAGATGAAAAAAGTTAGGTTTCTGGATTTTAGATTTGAAATTGAGGGGAATCTGTTGGAATTTTTGTGAGATTAATGGTAGGATGGTGATTAGGCTGGTATAAGGAGTATGAGGGTGTTAATTTATGGTTATACAGTGACGGGCCACCGCCGTAGGGCAATTTCCGGCAGGCAGTGGCTTGTGGTGAAGAGATGGGGAATCAGGGCGGCTAGGGTTTGGGTTCTAGTTTGAGATAGACGAGAATGAGTGAGGGATCTAGGGTTTGGGGGTCTTAGAACAGTTATATGAGATGGGGTGTTGAGTTTCGGTCCGTTAGATCATAGGGAATGAAGGTCTGGGATTAAACGTCGCAAAACGGCATCGTTTTGGTTAATTAGGGGTGCTGGAGCGGGCAGGGGTTGGGCTGGTTGGCTTTTTGGGTGGAAAAATTTGGGCTTCGAACATGTTTGGCCCAATTCAAGTCCAAACAAACCTTCCTTCTTCTCTTTTCCTTGAATTGATTTAATTTTCTTTAATTTCCAATATTAAATAATAATAAAACTTAATTAAACCTAAATTAAGTCCTAAAATCGCTATAATTTATGAAAATAAACTGAGTTATCTATTTCATAATTTAATAATTAGCTAATTAAACTAATGAAAAGATAAATTACCAATTTGCAATTAAACTAAAGTGCAAGAACGAACCAATATTTTTGTAATTTTTGTTTATATATTAAATGCAATTGAGACCTAAAATGCAATGCATGGAATATTTTTGTATTTTTTCATGATTTTAAAATATTAAACATGCAACTAAATACAACCAACAATTATCAACATATTCCTAAAAATTTTATAAAAATTAAAATAAATTAAAAAAAAAATCTATTTTGTGACTTTGTATGAGTATTTTTGTCGGGCAAAAATCACGTGCTCACTTTCGGGCAAAGATAAAGTGAGCAAATATGAGTGATTTTTGCCCGCTTGGATACTCCCTAGGAATTTTTTTGAAAACGTTTGACCGAACCTTACTTCCGAGGTTGCCTACATATCTTTGGCTATAAAAGAATCAGGTTAGTGTAGTTTTGGAATTTTGTAAGCTAGGACTACCGAGAAGCTGTAATTTCACTGTTGCTACTACTATTACTGCTGTTACTACTTGCTGCACACCTTATTATACCGAAATCAAAATTAAAAGAAGCTAGGCGAGTCTATCAACTTTGGGTTACAAAATTCCTATATATGAGTCTTCAAACTTGATCTTGAAACTTCTACAGTTTTGCCGCGCATCTTGAACTATTGACTCACGCTCTCGAGGCAAGCTTCTGTTATTTCTAACGTGAATTGACGCCATTCTTCAGGCGAGCTCCTGCTGTTGTTTTGGGCTTTGACCTTAACTTTGAAATGAATTCGCTCGTTCTCTAGGTGGGTGCATACTACTTGCTTTTATACTCGAAATGAATTCCCTTGTTCTCCAGGTGGGTACCTGCTACTTGACTTGATAATTGAAATGAATTCCCTTGTTCTCCAGGTGGGTGCCTGTTACTATGACAAAATAGACAAAAGAAAAGAAATTTTTCTACCCCAGTTTGGACCAAGAGCATTCATGAGTGTTAGTTGAATCCCATTGTCCAGGAGGGTCCTGAACATTTAAAGTTAAATCCCATTATTCAGGCGGGTCCTAACAACTTACAACTAAATCCCATTATCCAGGAGGGTCCTGAACATTTAAAGTTAAATCCCATTATTCAGGCGGGTCCTAACAACTTACAACTAAATCCCATTATCCAGGAGGGTCCTGAGAACTTGAAACTAAATCCATTATCCAGGAGGTCCTGACAATTTGAAAATTAAATCTCATTATCTAGGAGGGTCCTAACATCTTGAAACTAAATCCCATTATCCATGAGGGTCCTGAAAACTTTAAACTAAATCCCATTATCCAGGATGGTCCTAAAAACTTAAAACTAAATCTCGTTATTCAAAAGAGTCCTGACAACTTGAAAATTAAATCTCAGTATCTAGGAGGGTCCTGAAAACTTTAAACTAAATCCCATTATCCAGGATGGTCCTAAAAACTTAAAACTAAATCTCGTTATTCAAAAGAGTCCTGACAACTTGAAAGTTAAATTCCATTATCCATGCTGGTCCTGACAATTTGAAAATTACATCACATTATCCAGGAGGGTCCTGACAACTTGAAAATTAAATCTCATTATCTAGGAGGGTCCTGAAAACTTTAAATTAAATCCCATTATCCAAGCAGGTCCTGACAATTTGAAAATTAAATCCCATTATTCAGGAGGGTCTTGAAAACTTTGAACTAAATCCCATTATCCATGCGGGTCCTAACAATTTGAAAATTAAATCTCATTATCTAGGAGGGGCCTGACAACTTGAATATTAAATCCCATTATCTAGGAGTGTCCTGCCAATTTGAAAATTAAATCCTATTATACATGAGGGTCCTGAAAACTTTGAACTAAATCACATTATCCAGGAAGGTCCTGAAAACTTTGAAATTACATCCCATTATCCAGGAGGCTCCTAAAGACTTGAAACTGAATCCCATTATGCAGGAGGGACCGGAAAAACTTGAAACTAAATCCCATTATCTAGGAGGGTCCTAAAACTTAAAACTAAATCCCATTATCCAGGAGGGTCCTAAAAATTTGAAACTAAATCCCATTATCCAGGAGGGTCCTAAAAATTTGAAACTAAATCCCATTATCCAAGAGGGTCCTGAAAACTTTAAACTAAATTCCATTATCCAGGATGGTCCTAAAAACTTAAAACTAAATCCCATTATCCAGAAGAGTCCTGACAACTTGAAAGTTAAATTCCATTATCCAAGAGGGTCCTGATAATTTGAAAATTAAATCCTATTATCCAGGAGGGTCCTAAAAACTTTGAATTAAATCTCATTATTTAGGAGAGTCCTGAAAACTTTGAAATTACATCTCATTATCCAGGAGAGTCCTGAAGACTTGAAACTGAACCCCATTATATAGGAGGGTCCTAGAAAACTTGAAACTAAATCCCATTATCCAAGAGGGTCCTAAAACTTAAAACTAAATCCCATTATCCAGGGGGGTCCTAAAACTTAAAACTAAATCCCATTATCCAGGAGGGTTTTGAAAACTTGAAACTAAATCTCATTATCTAGGAGGGTCCTGAAAACTTGAAACTAAATCCCATTATCCAGGAGGGTTTTGAAAACTTGAAACTAAATCCCATTATCCATGAGGGTCCAGAAAACTTTAAACTAAATCCCATTATACAAGAGGGTCCTAAAAACTTTAAACTAAATCCCATTATCCAAGGAGTGTACTGGAAACTTAAAACTAAATCCCGTTATCCAAGAGGGTCCTCACAATTTGAAAGTTAAATCCCATTATCCAGGAGGGTCCTAACAATTTGAAAATTAAATCGCATTATCCAGGAGGGTCCTGAAAACTTTGAATGAAATCTCATTATTCAGGAGGGTCCTAAAAAATTGAAACTGAATCCCATTATACAAGAGGGTTCTGAAAAACTTGAAACTAAATCCCATTATCCAGGAGGGTCCTGAAACTTAAAACTAAATCTCATTATTCAGGAGGGTCCTGAAAAACTTAAAACTGAATCCCATTATCCAGGAGGGTCCTGAAACTTAAAACTAAATCTCATTATTCAGGAGGGTCCTGAAAAACTTAAAACTGAATCCCATTATCCAGGAGGGCCCTGACAACTTAAACTAAATCTTATTTGGGATATACCTTCCTTATGAAGGATTCCTACAGAGCAAATAAAATTTTCTGCCCTTGTTTCAATCAAAGAAAATCTTGTCACTTTGAAAATGAGGTGGTTAGTTTGTGGCATCCTTGCTGAAGGTGTCTGCTTTTGCCATTGCCATGCTTCGTCCCGATTAGCTACTCTGGGCTAGCAAAAAATTGTTTGACCTTCTGATCGAACCTCAACCACAAAACCCTGAATCACCCGAGTAGATTACACTCAATTTGTTGTATGACACCTTTATCTAACAATTTTGAACCTTTATATTTCCTCAATATTCACGAATCACTTGACCACTTCAACTCCCATTAACACCTTATTGCTCATTCTGAATCATGCCACTTGTGATATGCTTTGGCCGAACTTTTCTTTGTGCAATTAAAAGCCGGTAATAGGCTCTTTCTTGCTTGCTTAACAAGGCTAACATTAAAAAAAGGCTTAGAGAAGTAAACCCAAAAGAAACGAAGCAAAATGACTTTGAGAAACAAGAATATAGAGGAAAACTTTGAACAAGGATAACTATTTAAGGAATAATGGAAAAAAGACTTATCTGAGTAAAGCAGCTGACTCCAATGATCATGACATGCATTTTGGATTAATCAGCCAAGA